AGGCACCTCGCCTAAGTCCTAGGCATAGCCCTTTCAAAAGACGCACACCTGGTGCACCTTGTGCCTTAGCCTAGGCATGTGCCTTTTGAAAATTTGACGCTTTTTTGGTTTTTTTGTATTTAGCGGCTGGGCCGGGGGGCTCTGTTCGACGACTCATAGAATCAGGAATGTAATATGTTTTACATCATATTAGCTACTTGAAGTAATGCAATTGAGAAAAAAAGAGATTGTGGGTTTTRTATGCTTGAAATTGTTTTATATATTTGGTTTTATTTTTGAATTCTCATTTGAATATGCTTTACATGTTATATTTATGTATTTTAATTTTAGATAATAGGTTTTTTAAAGAATTTATTTTAAAAAGTAAGTTTATATTTTTATTTAATATTATTTTTAATAATTTTTTGATTTTTTTTAAGTTTTTTTTTTTAATTTTTTGCGCCTTGTTTAAAAAGGCATGTGCCTCGCCTTGCGCCTTAAGTGCAAATTGATCCCTATGCCTTTTTTGCACCTTGTGCTTTTAAAACACTGAATCAACCACAACTTGAAATTCATTTTCCCATACCTCTTTTGAAACCCAAATCCCAATTTAACCCTTCAGAAAAGGAGACAAAGAGACATAATGTGAAATTGGTTCATTCTTAAGACGAGAGATAGAAAACAAATTGGAAATGGATCTTTGAGGGGTTGTTCACCCAACCATAGGTCTTCCCTAAAAAGAACTTTATTTCCACTAAAAACATTATACTTGATAAAGTAGATAAACAACGGTAAGACAACATGGATAGCTTTCCACAAAGAGGCCAAAGTAGCTCTCACAGACACTAGCATCCCATCCATTTCCCCATTCCATAGATACCAATTACCACCACCCTATGCTAGACTTTATAATTTTTAGTTGGAAATCTATACAACCACTTACCTAATAGTGCTAAGTTTTTATTCTTTGTATTTTCTAAACCCAAACCTTCTTGCTCCATATTCTTGCACACTATCTCCCAATACACTAAATGATCCTTCTTTCCCTCACTAGGCTCCCACAAGAAGTATCTCGTTAGTTTTCTATTTTATTAACAACTTTTTGAAGAACCTAAAGACTGACATTTACACCGAGAGATTATCCAAGGTTGTCTTAGGTGGCGTTTGATAACACTTTGCAGACCTTTGAAGTCTGAAAACATTGCTTTTCAGACGCCAGACGTGTTTGGATGTGTGTCTGAGGGCCTGCTCGTTTCCTCTTAACTCTTATCTCTTAAGAGGAATCTTATAAATTTAAGAGGAAAATGGGTGTACGTTTCCTCTTATCTCTTAAAGTGGAATTTTATAACTTTTTGTTTTCTAATGATACTCCCAAAAGGCAAACAAAAGTTCTCATATATGGGGTTTAAAATGGACATTTGACAATTTTCAGAATTCAGAACAACATTCTTTGCATTAAGGGTTCAGAGGAAAGAAAAGTTCACCAATACCAATATACCTCTTAGTGTAATTATTGCACTTTCAAATGTTAGACGTCAGAGCAAACAAACAGGCCCTGAATAGAGGTTTGAAATGAATGTTCAGCTCTGAATAAGACATAGGCCAGGCATTGAACGCCGTCAGACGCGTTTCAGACCTTGCCAAATGACCAAAAAAACCTTAAAATGACCTGAACTAATAAGACATGCGTTTCAGGCATTGTTTATCTTCTCCACTTGACACAATGACGAACCAGTGGCAACAAGCTTCCTCCTCGTCCAGATGTTCTCTTGCATCCTCTACTTCACATCATTGCCGTTGCAACTCCTAGCAACAATTCTTCTTCTTCTTCTTCTTCTTCTTCTTCTTCTTCTTCTTCTTCTCTCTCTCTCTCTCTCTCTCTTTTCTTCCCTTCATCCGATTCCCTTGTTCTGATCGCCCCTTTGTCCTCACCACTCCCCTGTTCATCATGCCGCTCTTCCACCACTACAACCTTAACCTTAGTTGATCAACCAATACAACGTCGGAAAGAGTAGTCGCCGAAAACACCACGGAGAAGAAGCCCTAAAGTGTTTCAAAGGTTGCAAAGACCAGTTACTGGAAAACATCCCATTCTTTAGTGGTTGCAAAAACCCTAAAGTGCTTCAGAGGTCACAAAGACCAATCGCCAGAAACACCGCAGAGAAGAAACTCTGAAGTGCTTAAAAGATCGCAAAGACCAGTCACTGGAAAACATCCCATTCTTCCAGGGGTAAAATAGTAAAATCAAGAATTTTTAGATGTTGAAGAACTGATCCAACACAGACAACCTTATCTATTTAGAGCCTCTAAAAAGTAGAAAAGCATCTATGCTGCTTTTCAGATTTCAGATTTATCAAACGCCACCTTAATCAAAGTTATTCTACCCCCGCCCCTAAGGAAATATAATTTCTCTTCCAAATTGCCAATCTTTTTCCAAATCTTTACTACCGAGTTCCAGAATGAACCACACCATAAATTACCTACCAAAGGTAGATCCAAATACTTTATGGGCCAAGGACTTATCCCCACCTAAGGATTCTTGCTACTGTAGTCACCTCTCTATCCTCCTAGCTACACAAACATTTTTTTTTCAAAATTTACCCTTAGGTTTGAAAGCCTTTCAAAAAGTCTCGTCAAAATTCTTAAATTTCTTTTTTTTTTTTTGAGGAAAAGGTAAAGTATAATTGTATTAATGAAAAGGTCCTTTATACAATGAGAAGCTGTACAAAAAGCCAGAAGGACCTCAAAAGAAGGTCATCCTCAAAAAATTCTTACATTTCTCTCTTGTTGAGGGTTCTCACCATCACAAATATGATGTCATCTGCAAATTACAAATGAGTGACTACAACCTCATTCCTCCCAACTCGCCACCCCTAAACCAACTTCTCTCTATCTGCTCTAAAGATAAATCTACATAGAACATCCACTACCAAGGTGAAAAGGAAGGGTGATAAGGGATCACCTTGTCCTAGCCCTCTAGAGGCAGGAAAAAAGTCTGTAAGCAATCCATTAACCCGTATATTGAGTAATGGAAGGTCCTAAGGCGTCCATTTATCCAATTACACCACTTTTCCTCAAAACTACATATCGTCATCACCTCTAAGGCCTCGTATATTGGTCAGCTCACCTATGTTTGTGTACCAGTATTAGTAGGTCTTGCGGAAAAAGAATGATTCCCAAGTGGTTTAGTTACCTGGGTAAGTATTACCATCCACCCACTTGGGTAAATAACTTTCCTATCTAGGGGGAAAATTGCCAAGACATGATGGAACAACATTGCCCCTTCAATAATGTCATTTTTTAACTTTACCTAGGAAACAAAAAGAACACTAGTAAGTGTTCTTACCTGGGTAAGTGTTTCCTAGGAAAAATTTGCTTGGATAAGTTCATTTACCCAAGTAAATGACTTCACGAAAAACGAATTGGGCCTAAAAGGAAGGACCAATCTACAAAGTCATAGGCTTTTCTCCACATCAAGTTTACAAATAAAACCTCTTCCTCCAGAATTTTTCTTATCCTCCGCATCTCCTTCATCAGTTTCATTAATAAAAAAAATGTCATCAGAAAAGAACAACCACCATTGGGACCTTATGAAGTTCTTTTCTTTGTGTTAATTAAGGCACTTTTGCTTTGAATATGCAAGCTAGTTTGCTAGGTTAATGGACTTCATGCAGTTGACTTATTTGTTTTTCCTGTTAAGAGCAACATTTCCAACCTGTTGTTGAACCTTCCAGTCAGACCATTTGACCTGTCACGGGGTCAGGCTTCTGTGTCCTTTTAGTCCCTGAACCATTTACTTGCAAAAAGCATAAACATGGTCAACGACTGGTGACCCTGCTGGTTGAACCAATGAACTGTTTGACCTGGTCAGCAGGTCATAGGTTAGACATTAATTCTCTTTTTCTGTTTTATTTTTTATTTTTTAGTTTTGCCATTTCCATTATTAAGAACAGTAATTCTCATTTATCACTTATTTTTGTTTAATATGATGAATATATATTTGAGACATGCCCAATTTTTCTATGAACTTTCTGTATTTTTTCTGCATATTATCTATTTTTTTATATTTTATTATTTTATTTATGATGTTATGGGTTGGGCCATTTGAACTGGATTCAACTGCTGATCTGCCACCCAGAGGGAAAAGCAGTGCTGTTTTTGGGTTGCTTTTTTTTTAATTGATTAAGAAAATTTCCAGATTCCGACCTCTTTTTCAAATGTTCAACTTAGATTTCAATGATTTACCAGCACAAAATCTTTATAATAAAATGGGGACATGAATCAAATGCACTGGGGGACAGTTACTGAGAATCCTTCGTAAATCAGGGAAAATAGTATGGGTTTAGTGGCTTTTGGCACTATAAAACCTATGTACACATATACTCCATTTTTTTGAAAAAGAAAAAGGGGACATAACCCCTAACATGTATAATAACTAACATGTTTAAAAGTGCAAGAAGCAAAATTAAAAAAAAAAATTGCAAAAACAAAAGGTACAAAAATTCAACCACATATTATACTTTATTTCTTGATTTCCCTGATCATGTGTCTTAATGGAATTATACTTTATTTCTTGATTTTCTCTTCCTTTTTGAATGGTTGAGGCCTTTTTTGTTTGCTGTGTAATTTTATTTATATTAATACAAATCTTACCTTTAGGTTTGGGTTTTACTTTGCTTCAGGCTTTTCTGTACTTGATCAATAATGCAAATAAACAAAAATAGATAAGAATTTGCACTCCGATACTTTGCACCAGTTCAAATGAAAAATGCACTGAAAACAAACTAGGCTTAAGATTTAAAGAGTGGTTCAAAGATTTGAATTACTTCTTATGATATGGCCATCAAATAGCTTTCTTCACTATTTTTAATTTGTCTTCTGGGATTAACTTTTCTAGGCCCTTCCTGTTCTTCTCACTTTTTTCCCTAGTTCTGACTTGTTTGCTGGGACATGGTTGTTCATTTACAATTTTTTAATATTCTTAATATGTTTTAATTTATCACTTTATCATATTTCTGCAGCTCACTTGAGAGCTCCAAAGTGGTTAAAATGCCCAGTTGGGGCCTCTTTTGGTTTTGGAGGAAAATTTGTTTTGTTCCACCCTGGTCCATCAACTGTAGGTGGCCAATCTGGAAATTCTCAGGTAGTCTACTTCTCTAATGGTTGATCCGCCCACCATTCATATGCCTTAGTTGTGAAGTTCATTTCTTGTCCTTGTTTATTTCCAGGTTTATGTGCATAACTTGGTCACTGAAGAAAGCTTGGTAAACCATTGCATGGAATTTGAAGCTGCAATTCAAAATGGGGAAAAATCTTCTCTGAGGGCTTTATGTGATAAGAAATCCCAAGAGTCTGAGTAGGTTATCAAAGTAAATTCTCTGTTATGTATTTCTTTTCTCTATATTTAAGCATAAATTGACTCAACAGTTTCTATTTTTCAATTATTTTCTATTGTCTATTGTCTGGAGAAGATCTGAGGATGATAGAGAAACATGGGGCTTCTTGAAGGTTATGTTCGAGGAAGAAGGGACAGCAAGGACGAAATTACTCACCCACCTTGGGTTCAGCATTCCAGCTCAAGATAATGTACAGGATGAGCTTTCTCAGCAAGTAAATGCTGTCAGTCTTGATGAAAAGTCAACAATTAAGACTGGATTGGCCAGAGACAATGATGCCAACATATTCCCTTCAGATAATGCTGAAGACTTCTTTAATAATCTTCAAAGCCCCAAGGAAGATCCATCTGTATCACCTTCTATTGATAACTTTGTAGTTGAAGGTGATGCCATGCGCAATGGAGAACAAGTGCAACAAGAATTGGATGGAGTGGGAGAAACAACTGACTCTTCAGTTGATGATAGCATTCAGCATGCTTTGATTGTTGGAGACTACAAGGAGGCAGTTTCCCTGTGTATATCAGCAAATAGAATGGCTGATGCCTTAGTTATTGCTCATGTTGGCAGTCCATCTCTTTGGGAGAGTACACGTGATCAGTACCTGAAAAGGAGCCCTTACTCTTACTTAAAGGTAGCAAAAATTTCAATCCTGTGATGGTGACTTGATGGCAATACTGATGTACTTTAGAAATTATAGAATTTGTTAATGAATGCACATCCTGTTTTTTTAAAATCATTGTAATAAGAAAAAGGTGTTACATGTTCAGGTTGTAGCTGCAATGGTGAACAATGATCTTATGACACTTGTAAACACCCGGCCCTTGAGCTCCTGGAAAGAAACCCTTGCTCTTCTCTGCTCTGTAAGTTGTTGAAATGCATAGAAAGAAAAAGTCCAGCTTAAGTAGTATTTTTTTGTCCAATGTTCACTGTTATGCTTAATATATATGAAATCTTAGTTACTGGTAATTTAGTACTAATATATGCATGGTACTTCCCTGAATAGTGCATGGCCTATATGACAATTGCATTGTTGCAGATTGCTTCAAAATCTGTTCTCATTATCTCTTCTGTTGGCATCTTTTGTTTTTTTAATGATGTTACTGAAGGATAGGGTCCCCTCACTGGGATGGGATCTGGATCTGCTCCTGAGCGCTCCTCACATCAACCTCACAACACATCCCAGCTGCTCATCGGGAACATCTCCCGTACTTGTGTGTTGTTACTTGTGGGGAAATCCCAATTCACTGGTGTGAGGTCGGTGTGAAGTGCGCTCTGTGAGGAGCAAATCCCAATTCACTGGGATGGCCTAAATAATCCTATACTAAATGTAGTAGTGACCACATCCCCTTGGTCAGAGCATGTAGACCAATAACTCTAAGTTTTCCAGTGCTGTGATTCTCTTAATCATTTTAGAAAGAAATGAATGACTTAAGTTATAATAATTGTTGTACATTTTATTTTGCAGCGATTAGGCTGAAACTTACAGGACTTGCTACATTTACTTATGCTGTTCTGGCCATCTTAATTTAACAGTTTGCACAGCAGGAGGAGTGGACTCTGCTATGTGACACTCTTGCTTCAAGGTTAATGGTTGTTGGAAACACATTAGCTGCAACTCTCTGCTATATATGTGCTGGAAATATTGACAAAACTGTGGAAATCTGGTCCCAGAGTCTGAAGGCTGAGCATGAAGGGAAACCCAGAGTTGACCTTCTCCAGGTGGATATCTTTTGTTTAGTCCCTGAAAACACTGATCCAACTGCAGGTTGATAAGTGATATTATTTTTTTTCTACTTTTGATGGTAGGACTTGATGGAAAAGACTATCATCCTTGCTTTGGCAACTGGACAAAAGCAATTTAGTGCATCACTGTCCAAGCTGGTTGAGAATTATGCTGAACTACTTGCAAGCCAAGGGCTCCTAAAAACAGCAATGGAATACTTAAAACTTTTGGGTTCAGAAAATTCATCTCATGAACTTGTTATCTTGCGAGATCGCATAGCTCTCTCTTTAGAAGGTAAAATTTCCTTTTTGTTCTGTGCTCTATACCACATTAAGTATAAATGCTGTACATTTATATGGGTAATCATGAATCATGAAGCATCAATTAAGAAGGAGAAGGTTTGTTGTTTGTTTCATGATTTTTTGACACATGCTACTTTTTTCAGTTCCAGCATTATATTTCTTTTATTTTATACTATACTAAGAAAAAAAGTACATCAAGGCCATCATCTTGTTCACAATAAGGGCAGTGAAGTATATTGGTACTCATGAAGCATCAATTAAAAAGAATGTTTTTCTGTTTGTCTCTTTTTTGACACATGCTACTTTTTTTTTTCAGTTCCAGCATTATATGTCTTTTATTTTACTAAGAAAAAAGTACATCAAGGCCATCATCTTGTTCACAAAGAGGGCTGTGAAGTATTAAAAAAAAGCTGATAGAGAAAAGAAAAGAAAAGAAAATAAAGAGAAGAAGATGCATGAATGTGAGAGAGGTTAGGGGCATTGACCCCTCTCCCTTATATTAATTCTAGTAAAATCATTCATTTTGATAGCAAATGAAAAATTATTATAAAAGAAAATAAAGGAGAAATCATCCCAGAACGAAAAAAACTCCCTAACCCCTTAAAACGACATACACATTCTTTAAAACAACATACACTATATATATCATATTTTATATTTTATTACAAATTATGACATATTTTATACATATATTATATGTCATATAATATGAAGTATTGTAAGTGTGTGTGTGTGTGTGTATTAAATGTAATACATTTAATGACATAAGCCTGGCTCATGATCACCCCCTCCCCCTCCACACACTTTTTTGCCAGTGTTTTCTCACCCTTCTCAATACAAGACATTCTTCATCAAATAGGCTTGTTTGGGCTTGTCCCAAGGGTCCTTTATAGAGGCAGATGGCCAATCTTGTAGGATTAGGAATGCAAGATGTTTAACATTATATTAGGTACCTGAAGTAATGCAATTGGGAGAGAAATATACAGATTGAAACTTTAATATGCTTAAATTTTTGAGTGCTTGGATATGTTTTAGATGCTATGTTTGACTTTATTTCTACATTTTTCACTTTGAACATGTTTTATATGTTTGTGTATTTTAATTTGAGCCAATAAGGTGTTTAATCATTCAACTTCTTTAAAAATTCAAGTCTGCATTTTTTCTGAATATTATTTTTTTGAGTTTTTTAAAAATTTTGCACTTTGCTTAAATAAAACATATGCTTCACCTTGTGCCTTGCCCCTTGGATGCAAAAAGCTCCTCTATAAGGTAGGTTCACATTGTGCATGACAAATAATACGGTGCAATCACATCACTAGATTCTGAATCTGCCTTCAGATAACTCTGATTGTATTTTGTGCATTCATTAGCGGAGCAGTTTACCTCCTGTAGGAATCTAAGTACCTAATTTTCTTCTAATTTTTATCATGGATAAATGATGTCAGAAAATGTTATCCTAATTCTTTTGCTTAGCTTGAGATAAAGTTTGTCTGATGCCTGTGATTCCAAGTTCATGATCTTACCATACTTTGTCACAGAGAAAGAATTGCCCAAGGCACTCCCTTATGAAATCTCTCAACCACAAACAGAGGTCATATATGGTTCTGAAAAGCCCAGTTTTGGCATAGTTGATGGATCACAACCATATTATCAGGTTCTTTTAGAATATCCCATTCAATTACAGTTCAAATGCAGTGTATTTTGTTGCATCCAATTGATAACTTACTAACATTTTGTCTTTCCTTATTCTTTGCTAGGATAAAACACATCCACAGTTGCAGCCAAATATCCCTGGCAGTCCCTATGGTGAAAATTATTCACAACCTTTTGGTGCTTCATATGGAGGAGGATATGTCACTCCTGCCCCATATCAACCGGCACAACCTCAGATATTTCTCCCATCACAGGCACCTCAACCACCTCAGGTATTTCTATGTTTGGGTTCATTGCCATAAGAAGTAACTATGAAGTCATATATTAGTATTATTTTGTGCTTCTTAATGACCAAGTTGGGCATCTTCATATGAGTTTTTCAAGCATTAATAACTAGTGTCAAGTATGTTTCTTCTTTTCATCTGTTCCTCTCCATTAATACATAATTTATAGTTTCTGTACAATCTATGCTGTTGTGTGTGTATTGTTATTTAACTGCAATGAACACTATACCGTTATCCTTAAAATTCACTCTTTATTAGACTAACTTATTTTATTTCCTTGAATTATTTTCAGGCAAACTTTGCTGCTCCTGTTATCACTCAACCTGCAGTGAGGCCATTTGTTCCTGCAACACCTCTTGTGGTGAGAAACGTGGAACAATATCAGCAACCCACTTTGGGTTCTCATCTATACCCTGTGCGTATATCTACTTTGTTATCAAAGTCGGGTATTTTCTTAATTCATTATGTTTGTTATACTGATTTTGTTGCCCTGTTTACTGCAGGGAGTTGCCAACCCCACTTATCAGCCTGGCCCACCTGTTACTGGTTCCATTGCTTCTATGCCATCTCAACTGGCTTCAGTTCCTAGCCTTAAACCACCACAAGTTATGGCACCTGCACCTACTCAAAAGGGTTTTATGCCAGTGAGTAATTCAGGGTTTGTTCAAACACCTGCAATGGGAGCCATGCAACCTTCAAATCCTACTCAGCCAGCACAGGTCCAACCAGCCACTGCACCTCCAGCACCAGCCCCTACTGTGCAGACAGTGAATACATCAAATGTACCTGGTAAGCTTAAAATTTGTTTTAATTGCCATCTTTATGTAATTTTGCCCTGAGATTGGTAGAGTGATGGTTTGATTTCTAGACATCTTTTATTCAATACATCAAGTGTACCTGAAAACCTTAATTTTTTTAATTTTGTATGTGCATTTATGGTTCTGAGATATCTAGAGTGTTGATATGCATATTTGCCAATATCTTGAATTGATGCAAGGTTTTTCAACTATGATTATTAGAATATCTGTCTATACAAAGTAATTTTCTGCCTATTCTGTTTTACTAGTGAGGTCTCTTTTGTACTATTTTATGCTGTGTATAAATTTTGGCTTCCTTGCTGCAAATATATCATCTTCAATTGAAGTAGAGAAGCATCTAAATACTATCAGAACATATGCTTTGTGTGGTTCATCTTCCATGCAAAGGTTTTTTGTATGAAACATCAAGCTGCCTGTTCCTAATGTTTTAGCTTCTCTTTGTTATTGTTGCAGCCCATCAAAGACCTGTCATCACAACGTTGACAAGGCTTTTCAATGAGACATCAGAAGCAATGGGTGGTTCACGCGCAAATCCTGCTAAGAAGAGGGAGATTGAAGACAACTCTAAGAAAATAGGAGCCTTGTTTGCAAAACTTAACAGTGGGGATATATCTAAAAATGCTGCTGATAAGCTCGTTCAGCTTTGCCAGGCTTTGGACAATGGGGATTATGGTACTGCTCTACAAATTCAAGTAAGTAGCTTACTACTTTATGTAGGAGGTCAGATATTTATATACATAGATAGATAGATATTTCTTGGAGCAGAAAAACATTTCATGTGAATTTTTTAATTGTCTAAAGAAGCACCCCTGCTACTATGGAATTAACAGCATGGATGTGTAGCAGGTTAGGTATAAGGTTCTCTTCGTCATTACTGAATGCCTCTTTTGGACAGGTCCTTTTGACAACAAGTGAGTGGGATGAGTGCAATTTCTGGCTTGCTGCTCTTAAGCGAATGATCAAGGCAAGGCAGACTGTGAGATTAAGCTAAAGTTGGAGATTCTTCCAGGCAACCCACTGTGGTTCTGCATTTTTTTTTATACGAAACTCAGGAGTGGTGTAGTTTTGAAGCACTGATAATCTCATGTAAACAAGATTGGCATTATAGCAATAGAAGTTTTGTTTTTTTGTTTTTTTATTTCTTTTCTTTTGGATTTTTTCCTTGGTTATTACATTAGGGTACATCCTTTTTCCTCCCAATAACTTGAGTCAGAGCCCACTTAAGCTCCTTGAAAGAGCACTTAGAAAAGATTGTTTTGGGGGCATTGAAAATCTAATTTTTTTTTGTAGTGATGTCTTTTTTCCCCTTTTCCTCAATATACATTTTTGTCATTTCTTTCATTTTCCCTGATTTGAGGCTCTTTTAGTTCAGTTCTCTTTTGAAATTTGATCGTTCTGTTACTAGCCAATGTTCACAACCGTTGTTGACCCGGATGGTTGGAAACATGGACTGGTCATTGTGGTCAATCATTCAGGGATGCAATAATGGTTCGTTTTTACCCGAAACATAGCAGGTTCCAAAAACCTGTTGGCTTGGTTAAAGAACTTTGGACCCAGATAGTAAAGCCAGTAATTCATTCAAGGTGTAGGCCTGTAAATGTGAATTCAAATTGAATCAAGATTTCAATTCAAATTTCTTTTTCCCAAGCTTAACAAGGTAAATTTCCATTGCAATCTCAGTGGTGAATCTTTTTCAATACAATCGGAAAGAAATGGAGTCAGAACAGACCAAGTTTGCATAGTGGCAAGTGTCGACTGTAAGCACATATTTGGCTAACAAGCTGCTTATGCTATAAACATGCGCACAACATCGGGTCATTCATGAACAAGACATTTCATTTGCTTGTTCTTTTTGCTGTCATTCAATTTTGTTATGTTTGGAGTTTCCCTTGATTGGAGTTTGGCCTAGTAGTTTGTTTTGTACGAAGAGAGAGAGAGAGAGAGAGAGAGAGAGAGGCTTTTTTTTTTGTGAAAACTGAGTAATAGCAAGAATAATTGCTGATTTTTCTTTTCTGAGGTTTTTAAAAAGAGTAAAAGTTTGATGTGGAAGCACCAAAGAAAGGACAATATTGATCCTCCATGGCATGCCACGTTATTTGTTTGCTTAGAATATGTTGAAGGTATGAAATTTGTTACATGTTTTCTTTTATAATCGAGGCCCCTTTTCTCTCTCATATGAAACCCTCATTGCTCCTCTTTTTTCAACTATTGGTTTACGATCTACTCTCCCCAGCCCCAAGCAATCTTATCTCAAAAAATTTCACCATTTCTTTTCTCTAGGCCTTTCATTCTTGCTCTATCAAGTCTCAACTCTCAAGCCCATTTTTCTATATCCCCCACTTCTCAAATAGGAAAAACTTTTCAATTGATTTTGTGTGCCTTCAAGACCAATACGACTTCACCAAAAAAACGAAAAGGATCAACACAATAATGGTGGATTCTTTGATTGACGGGATGGTTTCTGAGTTCCTAGAGCCTTTTGATCAAACTCACATTAAAAAATGCAAATTTAGCAAAGAAACTTGTACAGATTTTGCAAACTTATCCCCAAATGAGAGTTCTTAGAATAAGGGGGTTTGTAATTGAATTGGCAATTTGTATGATGAAAGACAATAAAGAAAACATTCATATTTTCAAGAAGCATGGAATGGAAAAAAAGACAACATTAGAGATTGAGAGCTTGAATATTTTTTGAGTGACTGTTGGCTTAAGCCAGCACAAAACAACAATGTCAACAACCCAGTCGCTTGTTGACAATGCAGTATAGTTGGTTGCTTTATAAATAAATAAATAAATGTGGAATTAATCATTGTTTCATTTTTTTTTCAGGATTGCATTGTTTAATGTTTACCAGTATTAATCTTTTTATTTATATTTTTCTATTGTGAACCATGAATTTTGCCTCTAAATCCAATTCTGATTAGATTGTTATTGCAATTTTAGTGGTAGGGTTTATTTTTCTTTTGAGAAGAAGTAATTGTATTCCAAGAGAAATAATACCTTTTTCCACCTTAATACAGCCTGAGATTCCCTCTTTTTGCCAACATACTTTTTGAAGAACAAATATGGACGTGAAGAAAGGAGAGAGAGAGAGAGAGGGTAGTGAAGAAGATGGAGAAACATGTTAGAGTGTGAGAGAGACTCCAAGTAGAAATACAGAAAATAAAGACTAAACGTGGGAAAGAGAATAATCAAGTTTGTTATTTAAGATTTTCATGTCAAAAATTTGATTTTAAACAATAAAGATTTTTTTGCATGTTTCTCTTTTGACTTCAAAACGTAGTTTAAAGTGGTGTGACAAATTATGAATTGAAGGCCGAAAATGGCCTCTTTTCCCGGAGTCTACTGAATTTTTTCATCTAAAAAATTTATTTGTTTGTATTATGTGCATTAATGAAAAGAATAAAACGAAAGGGTGTAAAAAGAAAAATAAGATTTGTGGGTTCGACTATGATATCGAAAACATATGGTATTGAAAAAATAACTAACAAATAAACCAGAATCTTAAACGTGGTAGAGAACATGGTGTTATTTATCAAAGTTCATGGGTGGGTTTTGATTGGTCAAAACTCTTTCCATATCATAGATTTTCCCTTTGTTTTTATTGTTTTTGCAGATTAAAGAAGTTGGGAGGTCTTCGATGGTACAAGGTGTTTCATGGACATAAAGGATGGAGGCTTCTTAGTTCTATTTAACTGCAAAATTGCACGTAGGGGTATTTATCGGGCTACAAATATGTTTTTCTTTTACCTCATTGGAATTCGCCTTGAACAACAATTTAGGTTTGTTTATTAATCAATAATAAAGCGAAATGTCATAGGTGACATCTTTAATATTGTTTATTACTCAATGCTCAAAGAACTTGACTGAGCATAGAACCGGAAAAGGGAGAGGTTAACAGGTTAGAGGTTCAATCGGGGTCAAATCAGAGGTCAAATTGTGATGATGTGGAATATACATATATACTACAGGTCATATAAATATTATATATATATATATATATATTAATTTTTAGTGTGCTTAATTAAATATGGTGGGTGGATGCAAATCTCTTAATTTTTAAAGCAAATGACTAAATTGCAAGTCATTAGTGGTAATTAAGTAATACATGAAAATAAGATGTTAAGAGTTCAAATCTTGTCAAGTGTTTTAAAATTTCAATTATTTAATGACTCGGGTAGTTTCATGAAACCAAGATCAATTCATTGCTTTTTCGATAAAACTGATTGGTCAATCGCTTTTCACCGATTTTTTAGCAATTATAGTTATTGCGGTGTGACCGAACTGGCTAGGGCCCCGGGTAGTTTTATGAAACCAGGACCAATTCATTGGTTTTCCGATTAAACCGGTTGGTCAATTGGTTTTCACCGATTTTTTAGAAATTATAGTTATTGCAGATGACATCTTTAACTATGAGCTTTGTTAAGTGAAATTAAAGCAAAGTGAATACTTAGATTTTTCATTTCAATCAGTAATAAGAAAAATTGGACAGGTAGATCTGGTCCAATGTCCTAAACATTGTTAATATGATTAGCAAGTACACCTTATGTAATGTAAATCAATGAGAAATAAACAAATCATATGACATCTTTAACTATGAGCTTTCTTAAGTGAAATTAAAGCAAAGTGAATACTTAGATTTTTCATTTCAATCAGTAATAAGAAAAATTGTATTCATCGTACTTATTTTTTGTTCAATATCATGAGTATATAATATCATACGCATTGTTAATTTTTTGTATAAGTTTTATAAGTTTCTTTATATACATACATATTATTAGTAGTCTCTATAAACCACATATATGTAACTAGGTATGATATTGCTATGTTTACCATGGTCATGAATGTCAATACCATGGTCAGGGGTTTGGTTATCGGGTCGAACAGTTGGCCTGTTTTGACAAAAAAATAAAAAAAAATTAAGAAAAACTTAAAAAAAAAATGGTCAAAACCATTCGAACAGTTAACCACCCGGTTCAGCGGTTTGCTTACCAAAATCAACGGTTTTTGGGGAAAATCCCATTTTAGGGGAAAATGGAACAGGTCACCTGACCGGTTCTTGGTTTTCCAGTCTGACCGTCTAGTCCAGTCCAGTTTTGAAAACCATGTAGAAAAGTTGGGGAGCTTTTCAATGGTAGAAGGTGATTCATAGAGATCAAGAATGGAGGTTTGTTAGTTGTACCTAATTGCATGCAAGGGTTATTCATATAGCTATAAACATATTCTGGTTCATCTTTGTTGAAATTCACCGAACAACAATTTGGGTTTGATAAGTGATGATGGCAGATTTGTCCCTCCACTGACATCATGACACATGGCATATCAGAACAGCTAGACTACATCCCAGCATCACCTAGGCAACAACTTGCCTTAGCCAAAATGGGGTCCCAGCTGGCGACCTACCTCTGCCGCTGACCTGGCGGCCTACTTCTGCTACCGACCTGGCGACTTGCCTCTGCCACCGACCTGGCGATCTGCCTCTGCCACCGACCTGGCGACCTACTTCTGCCGCCGACCTGGCGACCTGCCTCTGCCGCTAACCTAGCGACCTGGTGACCTGCCTCTGTCACTGACTTAGTGACTTACCTCTCTAGAAGCTTGCCAGTTATCTTTGAACCTTTCGGGGTCACGTCGCATAACCGTAGGCCTTATCCTCATCCCGCCCGAATCGGAGGGAAATGGTAAGCCTTATTAACTGGCACGCTATCCTCCTTCCAAAGTGGAATGGGCCCCTACGTCATAGGTCGAGGATTCTGGGAGCGTTTTGCGAGACCCACAGCAACCCAACTATATAAGGACATTAGTCCCTAAGACCCAGGTAGATGCGCAATAGTTCTCGTATCTCTCTAGCTCTCTCACATTTAGCTATCTTAAAATCTCTAATTTGCTAACTTAAGCATCGGAGTGCCCACCCCGGGTAAAGCAACCCGAGCACTCTAACATTGTTTCCTTGCAGGTCGCATTAGAGCCACATCTCCAGCTCGTCACCACTCAGTTAAGCATCAGAACCACCTCTCCAACTCGTCACCACTCAGTTAGGCATTAGAGTCACCTCTCAAGCTCATCACCACTCAGTTAGGAATACAAGCCACATTCCAAGTAGGGATTATTTAGCCAGGCATTCGAGTCACCTACCAGCCGAGAGCTACCAAAATGCGCATCATCAATAAGCATTGATTTATCATCGATGAAAGTGATAAGATGAAATGTTTATTTTGTAAAACTTGAACTACTGAAAAAATAGATAAACCATTTGAATTTGTTTTATTTATTTTGGATCTTAAGTTTGAATT